GGCGGCGACCAGGCCGGCAGGGGGGGGCAGTAAGGGGCGACCAGGCCAGCGGGGCGGGGGGCAGTTAGGAGCCAGAGGTCCCAGATTGTGACAGGGATGTCCGACTCCCAGGGATCAGGCATAAACCGGGAGTTGGACATCCCCTGAGGGGTCCCAGATTGGAGAGGGTGCAGGCTGGGCTGAGGGGACCCCCCCTCCCCATGCACAAATTTCATGCATTGGGTCTCTAGTAATATTATAATGAAATATTGGAAAATAATTAAATAAATTATGATACATCCAATTGAATGCTATGCAGGCTATAAAAAGAATATTGAGCCCTAGCTGGTTTGGCTCTGTGGATAGAGTATCAGCTTTCGGACTGAAGGGTCCCAGCTTCGATTCCAGTCAAGGGCACATGCCCGGGTTGCAGACTCGATCCCTAGTGGGGGGCGTGCAGGAGGCAGCTGATCAATGATTCTCTCTCATCATTGATATTTCTAGATCTCTCTCTTCCTTCCTCTCTGAAATCAATAAAAAAAATATTTAAAAAAGAATATTGATCTATATGCACTGATATGGAAAGATGTCTATGACATTTATGAAGGGACAAAGCAAGTTGCAGAAATGTATATAGATCCTATTTATGTGAAAAAATATGAACACATATTTGTACAGACAGTTCCCAACTTACAATGACTTGACTTACAGTTTTTCGACTTTACAATGGTACAAAAGCGATAATAATCTAGTAGAAACTGTACTTTAAATTTTGAAGTTTGATCTTCTTCCTGGCCAGCAATATGTGTTAGGATACTGTCTCCTGATGCTGGCCAGCAGCAGCAAGCTACAGCTCTCAGTCAGGTAAGCTATCACAAGGGTAAACCACCAAAACTCCATGTTGTATTCATTGTATTAGATGATTTTGCCTAACTGTAGGCTAATGTAAGTGTTCTGAGAACATTAAAGGTAGGCTAGGCTAGGATGTTCAGCAGGTGAGGTGTATTAAATGCATTTTCTTTTGAAAGAGATTTTTAAATTACTAAGGGGTTTACTGGGATGTAACTCCATCATAAGCCAAAGAGCATCTGTATATGTACAGAAAGCTTCAAAAATTGGTAACAGTGGTTACTGTTAATATGAAAAGACTCCCAATGATAGGGAAAGGAACTTTTACTTTTTATATCCGTCTGTACTGTTTGTTATTTTGAGCAATATGCAAATTTCCATTGTACACTACAAAACAATATCTAAAACCCGACATAATGCCAAGCCAAGTAAATTCCTCATCACTTTGGTTCCTGCTATAGAAACCTGCTTTTCACTACTATCCTTTACTCTGTAATCTGGTCTTATTTTAACTTTCTAAAAGCCATCACATTCATTCATTCAACCTTTTTCCCAGGCACTGTTCTAAGCCGAAAAATAAAGAACGATGCACAAAACCATGTGTTCCTTAGACAAAATCCAACACAGCAGCAGAATTAGGAATTAGTGCTATGAAGACTTGCATTTCCAAACGCTGACCTGTTTGAATGTCACATATATTTACTCGCACATAATAATTAATACACCGTTGCCACAGAATTTTCTGAGTGTCACTTGGACAAAGTATTCTGCTATAGTTCTCAAATGAACCTTTCTCCTGCATTCACTTATAATGAACTTCATACAAAGGAATTAAAAATAGCAAAGCTTTTCAGTTGTGTGGACTTAGGCAAATTACTTGGCTGCTTGAGGCCTGTTTTCTCCTCTGCCGAAAGGAATATTTACCTCTTGAATTTGCTGTCTCAGGGAGAATTCTATGTGCTGAAAATAGAGTGTAGCCGCAGCGTCC